CTCTCCCTCTCTTCTCTCCCTTGATTACGTTCCCCAAATCCAAACTGACCTTTTATATCTTTCCCTAACCCTGATTTTCACATTGTCCCTCATTACAATGAGTGATCTTGGTTTTATTCTCTGTCCTGACCCTGCCTTAATAATCTGCTTAGTGATCCAGTCCTTCCTTGACCAAGGTACCTGCTTTCATCTTGACAGTATCTCTTCTAAGGGCTGGGTCTTCTCAATCCTTGCTTGTTAATTGGAGCTTTGCCAACCATTGGCAGGGTTTCCTGGTATGAACGACCAATGCTGCTTGTCTGTGTGCTCAGATCTCTAAGTATCACATAATCCTGGATTCCTCACTACCTTGTTTGCAAACCCTATTTTGTCCATGTTGGATTGCCTTGATGCTAACTGCCTCATGAAACTTCTGCTTGCCACATCAAGATTCCACCCCAAATATGCTAATGGGTTTATCTGCTCAGTGTCTAGTCCTTCCAGACCTGTAGCCCTGATTCAAAAATGTGACTGTCTTTATCTGTTCTTTCTCCCTAATTAACAAGATGTGCCCTGCTATGTAACATCATTAGCTTGTCCTTAGAGTTTTGAAACAACTTATCTGTTCTCCCTGTATCCACATATTCTTTTCTGTGCTCAAAGTATCCAGTTGACTGAAGCTAGACTAACCATCAAAGCACATAACTCTTGCTTTTTTTACTCCTTACTCACTGACCATGCTTCCCTGTTAGATCATGTCTGGTGTTTCAAAGCCTGTCTTTGAAGTTCCTCTGTAACCTGACTCTCTTTAGAGAAATGACCTTACTCCTGGCAGCAACCTTCACTCCCTCAGTCCTGTCTACACTGGCCTCTAGCCAGTTATATTCTTTCTTATCATTCTGCCACTGCTTGGGCTGCTCCACTCAGAAGCAGCAGCTTCCATTCTCCCCTCCTACAATCAAATGCCACCTTTTCTTGAGTCCTAATCAAGCTCCATCTTTCTCAGAAGGCTTCTCTCACATTGTCCCTGCCCACATTTCTCTTTTCTTCTCAACTCCTACAGTTTTTACACAATACCACTTACCTTGAGAGTATACTTGATTATACAGCTAATTAATATATATTAGACACAGTTCAGTGAACGATGTCCATAGTGTAGACTAAATCAAAAACCTGGCAGTCATTCTAGAACTTTCTCAAATCCTTCCATATTGTATTCTTATAAATTTACCCCCAAATCTGTCCTGAATTCACCTCTTTCTATGGGTTCTTCCCCTGCCAAAGCACTCTTCATTTCTCTCCTGTTTAAGTGAACCTCCCTCCTAACTGGACTCCCTCTTTTCAGTCTTGACTCATTCGCATCTATACTCCATGTAACAACCAGAGCAGTGTTTCTAAAAGGCAAATTCCCTCATTTGAAAACATTCAGTGGCTTTCTTTTGCTCTTAGGGCAAAATCCAAAGTCATTCACATAGCTCAAAAGACCTTTATACTCTGGTCCCAGCCTACTTCCCCAAGTTTACTTTTAACATGTCCCCACCTCTACCCATCCCATGTCCTTTGTACGGCATGCTACAGGCACTCTGAACTCCTTGCACTTCCTCTGTGAGCATGCTCTGTCCTTCTTCAGGGCCTTTGGACCTGCTATGAAACACCACTCCCCATCTGACTCCCTTCTCCTGGTTAATGCTCTTCTTTCTGGCTTCAGCCTAGATATCACTTGCTTAGAGAAAGCTTCTCTGAGTCACCAAATCAAGGCTGGTCACCTGATTTTGTTCTTCTGTACCATAGTTTATGGTTCTTTTCATACAATTTTAGCGTACTGCTTGTGGTTGCCCCTTTATTGTCACCACATAATAACCTTCCTGATGGCAATGGCTCTGTCTTATCCAGTATTATATTCTCACTGTCCATCACAGTTCCAGGCACAGAATAGACATATAGTAAATAATTATCCAAAGAAATGAATGGAAGAAGGGAAGGAAGAATAGAGAAATGGGTGAAAGAAAGACAGGTGAGAGAGGGAGGGGAAGATTGCACTCTCTTCTAAACTATGAACAGGCAGAATCTATACCTTATACTTCATTTGAGTAACACACTCTGTTATGTTAATTGATTAATAACAGCCAGGACATACTTAGAGTCTTTGTAGATGTTCTCACTGCTGGAAACTTTTTTCCCCTAGATATTCACAAGTCAGTCTCCTTCACTTTATTCTACATTTTGCTCAAATATGGCAATTCTTAGACTTTTACTTCCACCATTCCATTCCCATTTCCAGCACACACTGTCACATCTTTCTCCTATTTCTTACATAGGCTCCTAAACTACTGCATTAGTTTTCTTTTGCTGCATAACAATTTATCACAAATTTAACAAACATTTTGTAGGTCCCAAGCTCATTATGGCGTGGTTGAATGCTCTGCTTCATGTCTGCTTAGGTCTGAAATCAAGGTACAAGCAGGGCTGAATTTTCTTTGGAGACTCTGGGGAAAATCTGCTTTTGGGCTCATTCAGGCTGTTGGCAGAAACCAGTTCATTGCAGTTGTAGAAGTGGGTCTCAGTTTTCTTGCTGGCTATTAGCCAGCGGGTTCTCACTGCTCTTGGAGGATGTTCTCATGTCCTTGCCGTATGGCCTCCTTCATCATCGGCATCAGAGAATGTTCCTCACATTGAATCATGCCACACTTCAAATCTCTGACTTCCCTGTTTTGACCTCCACATGCAGATAAAAGATTTATGTTATTAAATCAGGCCCATCCAGATAATCTCCCTATCTTAAATTTAACTGATTCGGGACCTTAACTACATCTACAAAATCACCTTTGCCATATAAAGTAACATAGTCACAGGAGTGATTTTTGTTATATTTACATTTCCACCTCAACTCAAGGCCAGGGAATTACATAAGAGCAAGAGTCATTGGAGGATATCTTACAATTCTTTCTACCACAAATACATATGACATCCTTGTTTATTATTATAATTATAACTATAATAATAATAATTATTATTATTTTGGTTTCAGTCTCCCTCCATTATAGGGAAAGCTGAATGAGGACTGGGATTTCTGCATGTTTTGTTAACTGTTGTATCCCATTGGTGCTTGGAATAGTGTCTGGATAATGTCACAGATGCTCAATAAATACATTTTGAGTGAATGAATGTGTCAGATGCACAAATATTAATTCTTTTTTTAAATCTTGAAGATATCTTGAAAAATATTTGAGATGCAGAAATGAAGTTCTAGTATCTAAGTGGATATTAATTCAACTCATATTTTTAAATAAATACTTCATAATCAATTCTTTATGTCAAAAGAGATACTTGGTGGTAGTGTTCTATGTATGCTCCCCTTTTGTCACCTAGAGCATGAAGCAGAGCTATCCTAGCTGATGAGACAATTCATAGTAACTTTGATAAAACACCAATGTCATGTTTTATCTTCTTTTATTTTTTCTTCTTGACCTTGAAAAGCCAGAAGAAGTTGGCATGCTTTCTCTCTCTCTCTCTCTCTCTCTGTCTCTCTCCACATACTACTAGGACATTAGTAAGAATTGATTTATCATGGCTTTAATTCAGCTCAGTCTTCAAGCCTTCAGCTCCAGTTGGCCTAATGAAGGAATTAGTTATGCATGTGGGGTGGGAAATCAAGTTTATATATAGCACTCTAAGATAAAATAAGAAGTGAAGATATAGCACAAGTACTATTAAAATGAAAGGAATATATTAAGGTGTACTGTTCTGGTAAAATAACCCATTCTACAAAAGGAGAGGCATATATTAAGAAACACATTCCTAAATATGAAGCAGTTATATATCATTATAGAAACAAGATTTTCAAGAATGTGAATCAATTTCTCCTTTATCACATGCTTACATTTTTCTACTCAATTATTTTGAGTTGTTATTTTGGATAGCACACATGGAGTGACTTTTTAAAAGTGGACCATGTTGAATTGGTGGTTCTCTATATATGCAAACCTGTGTATATTATATCAGTTATGGCTATATGACTACATATAATGTCCTCAAGTTTTATTCACGTTGTCACAAATAGCAGGATTTCCTTCTTTTTTAAGTGGCTGAATAATACTTCATTTTCTATGTGTGTGTCACATTTTTAAAATCCATTATCCACTGATGGACACTTAGGTTGTTTCCAGCAACATACTTCTTAATAATCAATGGACCACAGAAAAAAATGGAACTGCCTTTCAAAACAGAACTATCAAGAACTGTGAAGGACCTGAGTTTTTATCCTGCTTGCAAGTTAACAAATTAGCTTAACGTAGTTTCTAAAATGCTGGGTTAAAGACAGAGGACTTTGTTACACATGGCACGACAAGCAACATGAGCATCAGCATATTTGCATCAGTTCTTCTTGACTCCAAATCCCAGGGGGTCAAAACAGATAAGCCCAACCAAATGAATGCCAGAGGTTGCATGAAGACAAACCATGAGTTTAGGGAACCTGACTCTTTTATGAAGGACAGTAACTATGACTGCTTTGCTTTAGATGAAGACATTGTCTCTGTTTCCAAGGTGGTTTGCTATTCTTCAAAAATAGTCCAGAAAATGGGCCATCAGTGACTTACTTTACAAGAAATGTGAGACACCCATGGAGAATCATCTCCAAGTAAGAACCTACCATAAGGAGAGTAATTAGATGAAACCCTTTATTTGCCCCACTTTTGAGATTTATTGTACCGTTCATATCAAGGCTGTGCTCTTCCTGGGTTTTCTGGGCTGCTCCCCACCAATTATCAAGCATAGCAAGGGAGCAGACTGGACAATTCCTACTCAACATGGAACTCTTTCAATTACTCTAATGAGTAATATTTACTCTGGGGCTCCCCATCAGCTTTGCTCTGATTTTCTCAAAACTCTAATTCAGTCTGAGGCTTTTTTTATCCTATCCTCCTTCCTTCCCTCACTCCTTTCACAGGTGTCATGTCCCCATCATAATTTGAAGGCTCTCCACACCTATTCCTATTCCCTCTCCTTTTTTCCCTTCACAGGTGTTTTCCCCAAGAAAATCCTTGTGTATCTAATTCTATATCGACATTTGCTTCTTAGAGAATCTGAACTGACACAGTAAGTACTAAGAGTGGCCTGAGAAAATAGGCAATAAGACTGGGGTTTGGGATTGGATCACTCACTCTCTAGCTGGAATGTGATACATAGATAATCTCTGGTGAAAGATGAAAAAAGATGATGAATTATTTGCTTAAAAATTCAGTGGTGATAAATCACTAAATTCTATTTCCTGAAACCAATACTACACTATATGTTAGCTAACTTGAATTTAAATAAATAAAAAATAAATTTAGGAAAAGGAAAAAATTAAAAATTGAAGTGAAAGCTATAAACCATAAAAAAAAAAAAAGAATTCACTGGTGGTGACCCTGGAAAATACTCCAGTAGAGGGGAACTCCTTGCCTGGTGTGATGATAAAGATATTTGAAAGGTATTGAGAGAATAATCCCTCCAAAGACAGTGGAGTTGACTGCTTATTAATAAATTGTATTGATGACCTGCAGAAGGATAATGATATATTGAAGACAGTTAAACAATAATTAAAAGTAAAGTGTAAGAGACAGTGAACTTTTTTTGCAAGCGACCGAACAGACCCTTACTTCTTGTAGTAGAAGCACTGATACAAGGAAGAACAACGCAGGACTTAAATATTATAGTCACATAGCTCCAGAGACATTGAAATGCTGAGGTAAATTCTGTGCTCTAGTTTGGAAATTTGTACCCTAACATATGGAATGGGTGTTTTCAAGGATTCGGGTACTGAAGATGACCCTGAACTCCCAGAGTTGCAGAGGTGGCCCATTCTACACCCTATTAAGAGTTCAAACTACTTCCAGGGGAGGACACTTTCTTTTAAGTCAATAGATGACTCCGTCAGGAGTTGCTCCTAACTACTTTCCTGGTTATTAGGCTGATAACTAGGGTGAAATCTCAACATAACCTGGCTGGGGGAAAGCTGGAATTGTAAGGCAGAAAAGTGATTCCACTCCAAAGAAGCTGCAGAAATTGGTAGGAGTGAGGGGAATATTAGCAGGAGCTGGAGGAATATGTTCAGGATTGGATTTTGAATGATGAAACATGAGGGCCTTAACATAAGACTGGAAAATCAAGTATTCTTTGATTTTGGACACTTTCTCAGGTATAGGACTTTAGCACCCTGGCAGAGAACCAGAGAGCAAACCTACTGCTAGACAGTTCTTAGAAGCCTGGGGAAAGCACTGGCCTACACTTATCATGGTAGATCCTGGGGCATGGCATAGAAAGGCAAAGGGTGGTAGGCATGCTGGAATGGATATATTGTATGAATTTAGGAGACATGCAAGAGGATTGTGTTCTATAAGAGGGCCTAGAAGACCCGCCATTTACTGAGGGCATCAAAAACCCACTGATGACAGGGGTGCCAACATTTCTAAGTTCAGTGCTGATAGTCAGCTAAATTAGGCTCCTACTATCTAGGAAGGGTGAGTAGTTCATCTTCACAGTATCTAATATTTATACTGGGAAGGGTTTAACTTCCCTACTTGCAGAGCCTCTGCAAGCACCACTATCTGGGAACTTATGGAATGTTTGGTCCATATGCAAGGAATCCCAAACATCATAATATCCAAATAGGGGACTTATTTTATAATGAAAGAGGTGTGAGATTCAGATCTATTTTTTTAAAGATTTTATTTATTTATTTGAGAGAGAGAGAGAGAGAGCACAAGCAGGGGGGAGGGGCAGAGGGAGATGGAGAAGCAGACTCCCCACTGAGCAGGGAGCCCAATGTGGGGCTCGATCCCAGGACCCTGGGATCATGACCTGACCCGAAGGCAGACACTTAGCCAACTGAGCCACCCAGGCGCCCTCAGATCTATTTTTTATATAACATACAACACCATCTAAAAGAGGTCTGCTATAACATTGGAATGGCCTATTGGAGGCACAACTGAGGCACCAGTTCCAAGGTAACACTCTGAAAGAATGGGGTGCCATTCTTCAAGTCACAGTATATATACTAATCAGAGACTCCTAGATAGCTCTGTATTTCCAACAGGAAGAGTTCAAGGGTCTGGGAACCAATGGGTTAAAGCAAGAGTGGTCCTACTTATCAACCCTAAGGATCCATTAGAAGACATTGTGCCTATAAGGGTTGTATTCTTGATAGGAGACATGGCATGATCATATCTGAACTATAAGCTATGGATACTGCCTTGGCACTTTTGACTTCTTGTTCCTAGGAACTAAAAGGCAAGGAGTCAATAAACAGGTAATTGACCCTGATCAGCAGGAGGAATCAAGCCTGCTTTTACAAGGGGGATTGTGATGAATACATGTGGAACCAAGGTGATCCACTTGGGAACATCTTGGTGCTTCCTGCCCAGTTCTAAGTGTGAGTGGAAACTGCAATAACTCCACCCAAAGAAGGATATAATTACCCAGTGAGTCACAGCCATCAGCAATGAGGGTTGGGGTAAGCTACTATCAGTAGTTGGGGTTCCCTTGTTGGGTAAGCTACTAAGACCTTTAGAAGTTGGGTTGGGTAAGCTATCAAGATTTGCAAAGTGAAAACCAAGGGTGATGGGAACTTTAAATGAATAGCAGGGAAAGATAGTGGACCTCTTGTGGCCCAGAAACCAAACATGGTGATGGAGGTTGCAGTTTGTCCCTCTTAGAAGGAGAGATTCACAAAAATTGTGGAAAAACTGCTCTCTGAAAATAAATGAAGAAATGAATCTTTGTGGCGGACAGGGTGGACTGTGGCACCCATGGGAGTTTGCCAGTCAGATCCTCCTAAAAGAGAAAAACTCCCATGAAGAGTACAGTTAGCTGACAACTTCAGGATCCTGCTGCAGAATTCTTGCCTTGGCCTTGCTCTTGTTGGGCTGGTCTTAGGGAACAACTGAACATGGTGAGGATACAGAGCCAAGCCATCTAGCTCAATGAAAGACTCCTCTAATAGGTGATATTTTACACTGAGGCTCCCTTCAGACTTGCCAAGATTTTCAGAGTTCTACCTCAGTCTTCTGTTTTTACACAATATTCCTCCTTTCCTTTTTTCTTTTCACAGGGAGTCATCACAGCATTTCAATCTGAAGGTTCTCGAGCTCTTCTGTTTTTCTCTCAACCTTCCTCCTCCCTTAATAAATCTCTTGCGCATGTAATTTCATTTTAAAATATGCTTTTGGGGGACCTAAGGTGATACAACAACTTATCAAGATTTGTGGCATGCAGGTAAAGCCATGCTTAGGGGAAAATCTTCACGTTATACACTTATGTTATAGAAGAAGAAAGGTCTAAAATCGATATAATCTACTTAAACTAGGAAAAAGCAAATTAAACCCAAAGTATACAGAGGAAAGAAATAATAAAAAGCAGCAAAATTTAATGAAATAGAAAATATTAAAAAAACAGTAGAAGCAAATAAAAAAAACCTTTGAAAAGATCAATAAATTTGATAAATTTCTAGTCAAACTAGTCAAGAAAAAAAAAAAGAAGAAGACATAATTACCAGTATCAGTAATGAAAAAGGAAACATCACTGCAAACCTCACAAGCTTTCAAAGGATAATAAGAAAATAATTTGAATGATGCACACCAATAAAATCAACAACATGATGTCATGGAACAGTTATTGAAACACACATCCTACCAAAGCTCACTCATGAAGAAATATTTAGCCTGAAAATGTACATTTCTATTAAACAAATTTAATTACTTATCCAAAACCTTCCTACAGAGAAACTCCAAACCCAGATGACTTTGCTTGTGAATTCTACCAAACTTTTTTTTTTTTTAAAGATTTTGTTTATTTATTTGAGAGACAGAGAGAGTGAGAGAGAGAGCGCAAGAGAGGGTAGGGTTAGAGGGAGAAGCAGACTCCCCGCCGAGCAGGGAGCCCGATGTGGGACTTGATCCCGGGACTCTGGGATCATGACCTGAGCCGAAGGCAGTCGCTTAACCAACTGAGCCACCCAGGCACCCCTCTACCAAACTTTTGAGAATAAATAATACAAGCTGACAAACTCTATTTAGGAAATAGAATAAATGGGTATTCTTTTCAACTAATTTTGTGAGGCCAGCATTACCCTAGAAAACAAACCTCCAAACCAATATTCCTCATGAGAATAAATGCAAAATTCCTTGATATGAGTTTAGTTAATTGAATGCAACAATAAATATCATGACCAAGAGATATTTACCCCAGGATAATGTCAGATTGGTTCAACATTCAAAAATTAATCAAGGTAATTCACCATATTAACAAATCATATGATTATCTCAATAGAGAAAAAATATTTGACAAACTTCAACATCCATTCCTGATAGAAGCTCTTAGAAAACTTAGAAGGGAACTTCTTCAACCTGATAAAGGGCATCTATGAAAAACCTGTATCTAAAACCATTGTTGATGGTGTAAGACTGTTTTCTTCCTAAGATCAAGAACAAGTTGTGACTATCTGTTCTCAGCACTTCTATTGAACATTGTACTGGAGATCCTAGCCAATGAAATACATTGAGTAAAATGCATAAAAGGAAAATGCGTTGTCAAGGAAAAAGTAAAGCTGTCTTTATTTTTAGTAATGGTGTTATTTTTATAACCTAAAAAAAAGCCACTAAAATTTAGGAGTAGTGGGTAAAAACGAACTATATCATATTTTTACAACTTCTATCTAGTTTGCTATTAATAAGTGGGTTGAAGCTACAATGTGTGAGAGAGTGGGGTGGGGAGGGGCAGAAGAAGGGGGGAGAGAGAACCTTAAGCAGGCTCCATGCCCAGCATTGAGCCCAACATGGGGCTCAATCTCAGGACCCTGAAATCATGACCTGAGCCGAAACCAGGAGTCAGACACTTAACCTGACTAGCCAGCCAGCTGCCCCCTAGAGTGTTTTTTATAAAGACAAACTGCAGTGTGGAGAGAACTGATTTCACTGGAGAGAATAATACAGATGTTCGAAAACCAAATAGCATCAAAATATCAATGGACATAAAACATATTATCCTGTGAAATGCCACAGCTAATCTTTGAAAACAGCCTGATCAATGAAGTATGGGGAAAACTGCATATGGAATGAGCAAGTGTGGTACTTATTTTCTTCCCTCAGAGTTACCCATATAATATAAGCATTAGTTTTAGTAGGTAAGTGATTTAAGAATCCAGAAGACAGAATGTAACTGCCATATTCTTTATATTTTATTTTATAAAGAAGGAGAGGAAACACAGTCATGGCTGTGGGGTTCATAATTTGGCTCTTAAACACAGATTGTATAAAATTACAGTGGAGCAATGAGTAAATACAGATAATGACCACTCACCAAGGTGATTTCTGGCTTTTCAACCTCAATTCTCAGATTGGCTTCATGATCATTGTGGCTTATGAATTCTGTTCTAAAAAAGTTCTAATGGAAATAATGTAATTGTTATGATCTTGGATATAACATTATATAGTTTGATAAAAAGCACTTTCTTTGGAATTTTATTTTGAAAAGTCAGAAATAGTGGCTTGACAAAATGGTAAGTAAAATTACTTCAAATACCTAATACCTTAAACACTATAAAGAAATTTTGTCCTAATTCCTAATTTACAAGCTAACAAATAGCCTGCAGTATCTTAGTATAATTTTTCATATTCAGAGATTGACTGTCCATGTACTAAGGGCTAAGTTAACTGCATCTCTGCTGTGTTTCCTATTGTTTTAAGAAAGTAAATGTAAAGAAAGTGCTCTCTCTTTGCTATTTTAGTCTGGGTATGTGTCTACAGACAACCAATAACTCTATCATTGTGGGTCATATCGTGAAATAGAGAAGACATGCAAATCAGGACATACAAACTAGTTTTGCCTGCGTCATATGCTTATTTTGTGTTCATGGACATTTCAACTTTGGGGGGGTCTCATTTATTTTATCAGTAAAATGTAAATAATAATAATTCTCCCCAATATCGCAGATATTAAGCATGTGAAAATTATTTAATCTATGTAAATATCTCATTAAATGGGCCATCTAGATTTGATGAAATCTTTAGCCTCCATGTCCTGCCATGGATTTGTATCTTTACACGAGAGAATACAGAGTAGTGGAAAGAGCATCTTTCTTGGAATCTGGCAGGCTTATGTTGGAATCTGGGTTCCATTATTTACTAGCTGTGAAATCTCTGGCAGTTTACTCAGCCGTTTTGAGTTAATCTGTAAAATAAGATCGGTAATTTCTTTTGGAGTTTGGGATATTACAGTTCATATATAACGTACCTGGTGCATAGTATTTATGCTTAATATAGGTGCACTTATTTTGAGGTGTGTAATCTTCTTTCCTTGATGCTTCAGGAGAACATTCCAGAGCTAGAAACAGAATGATGAAGATCTATCTCATCACTTCATATACTCTGAACTTAAGGTGGAGCATGGAGGCAGCTGATATGAATATCACCTCTGCATAGCCGCATAGTGACATTTAATATAATGCTAGGACTTCTAGTACCTCCTCACCTGTAAAAGTGGGTAACAATAGCATCTTCCCAGAGGGTCAAAAGGAATATATATTCCTGTGTCTGGTGTATAGTTCATGATTGATAAACATGTAATTGCTTTACTAAACTTGGTAAAGAAAGAGAGCATTATATTTCTAAAATTTCTACTACTGCCCATCAGTGAATTCATTCTTTCTCTTTCGGACATCAGATCTCGGACATGCCCCATAGCTTTTCTCAGAAGAATAAATTTCGTCTGAGCAATACCTCTCCAGTATAATAAGCAACATTTTAAAATCACTCAACTTAAAGTTTCTCCCCTTTTCCCAGCTCAGAGTGGGAAGCCTAGAGGGGAGAAGGGGAGCAGGGCTGACTTGCCCCTCTTGCTTCCTTGCCCTCCTCAATTCCTCGCTGTCCTCTATCTGGTAGCCCAGGGTTACTGAGCCCAGGGAGAAGAAGACATTAAGGACAATACCTGCATTGCATGACTGTTTCTTTAGGGGCTGATGCACAGTTGTTAATTCTTTCTCTCATGAATGTACTTTTTGTGTTTTTTAGAGATCCTGCAAGGGCATCCCTTGTTCACATAAATGCCTCTCTTATGGCTGGTCGTTTCCAGTCTCCCTTTACCTGCTGGTGTTCTGGCTTCTACCTAGCTTTGTGCTTTATCTCCTTTGGGATTCCGTGGTTCTCCAGAGAAGGAATCCCCTTGAGGGGAATCCATTCTAAAATGACCTCAGTTTTGTTTTCCCAAAGATTAGCTTGGCCCAAGGGAAAATTCATGCTTCCTTGCCCCACATTTTGTTGAAACACTGTGTATTCTCAATACTACCTTTTGTTTTGTTTTGTTCTCTCTCTTCCTGTTTCAGGTTAAAATTCCATGGGGTGCTCATCAGACTCTCAGAGTGATCCCCTTGGAGCATGTTTGGCAGCTAACCTCATCCTCCCCTGCAGGGGATGGGTGGCAGTAGAAGATAGATGCAGCCCACCAACATAACTACCCCCAAACTCACTTCCTCATGACTTTAATTTGCAAATTCTTCTTCCCTTCACTTCCTCGAGGGGGAAGCCTTTGACACTTCAAAGACTATCTCCAAAATTCTCTTTTCCCCTCTTATACATGATTGGAAGGAGGGTATCTCAAGTTGGTAGAGCCAGTTTCACAATGCAGAAGCATGTTTTGCATATAGTCTGTTACTTTAAGATCTGAAAAATATTGGGTGCCTATTGTATTATTCTCAGACTTTGAGGCTCAGCCCAGGGCAGAATAATTCCATTTTAGAATTTTGTTAGAAATATTGAATATTGCAACTCAAATTAAAATTGGTTGCCTAATGGCCAGACATGGCACCATTCTTTTTCTTTTTTTCTGCTGCAAGAACAATTAGATTAATTTCATTGAGAAAAAAAAAAAAAAGAATTAACAATTGGGTTCCTAGTCAAATACTGTCCAGTTTTTTTTCAGATTTACTGAGAAATAATTGACATACGTCACTGTATAAGTTTAAGGTGTACATGATGGTCTGATTTACATATAGTGTGAAATGACTATACATTAGGTTTAGTTAACATCCATCATCTCATGTAGATACAATGGAAAGAAAAAAAATTCTTGTGATGAGAACTCTTGGGATCTACCCTCTTAACAACTCCCCTGTGTACTGTATACATCACACAGCAGTGTTAGCTATAGGCATCATGTTGTACATCATATCCTTAGTACTTGTTATAAATGGAAGTAAATTTGGATCCACTGAATACTTTCCTCCAGTTCCTCCTCCCTCAGTATTGCACACCGCCCCCCCAAACTGATCTCATTTTCTGAGTTTGGTGTTTGGGGCTTTGGTTTTTATTTTGTTGTTGTTGTTGTTAAGATTCCACATATAAGTGAGATCATATGATTGTCTTTCTCTGTCTGACTTATTTCATTTAGCATAATGTTTTCAAGGTCTATCCATGTTGT